AATGGATAATGGCATATCTATAAAAAGATTTTATAATATATGTAATATTTTTCAAATGGAAAATATTATTAACAGGAACAATACATGAATATCTATAGGGATCAAGATTAATTAACATTTAGGAAGCTATTTTAAACTGGGTCAGAATTCACACACCTATATGGGCACATACATATACAGCACACACAAATATCTAGAGAATGGCAAAAGAGTCAAGTTTGCCAATAAAATAGACAATTCTGGTAAACATGTTTCCCTTTCAATGTGAATACTGGTAGTTAATTTTGTTAGAAAATGAAGCCTTCCTGACTGTCCTTATGTATCCTACCTTCTACTCTAGCAATATTACACTGTATTACAGAGAAAGGGGTGTGTGTGTGTGTGTGTGTGTGTGTGTGCGTGTGTGCGTTACAATGTACATAGGATTTGGAGTCTGATCTATTCCAGATTTTTAGTAATAGTCAATATTAGTAATGGCTAATATTGTGATTATTAGTGATATTATGTAATATTGGTGATATTATGGAGCACTACTATGTGCCCATTACTTTCCTAAATGATATACTCATATCAACTCATTTAATCTTGAGAAAGGTACTATCATTCCCTTTTTAAAATTCCTGAACTGATTCTAAGGGATGTGAAAAGAAGTGGTAAAATTGACATTCAAATTTAAGCTGAATGGTTTCCAAACTAATGGAATCTTAATCCCTAGGGCCAAACAGGTTAAAAATAGGGGGGGAGTGACCACTATGTCCAAGACTTAGTTCCCTCATCAAGGGTGTGAAGATGATAGCTTATTTTGATGGATTATTTTACAGATTAATTTAGAGATTATATTTGAAGAATATGCTTTGTGATTTTTTCTGAAATTTGTTATTATGTCCATTTATATCAGGGATTCCAATTGCCTAAGAAGAACAAGGAGATTTAAAGTTTTATTCCTTTTCCCAGATAAGACTACTAAAATCCAAAAAAAGAATTAATTTACTATATAGAGTGCTCAGTTGGTTTGATTTTATTTTTTATCACCTAACATCTAAAATAGTATTATAATGTCATTAAAAGTATCATTTTTTGTACAGGACTTGATGTAGATTTAATAAGTCTCTTTAGAGATTCACTCATTCTTGAGAGTCTAATTCAAAATTAATTGGTAAAATTTAATTTTGATGGTATGTTTTTCCTCTCATTTTTAGTTATTAAAGTAGTTGCAAAAAAATAGAAATTATTATTTGTAGCTGAAGAACCCTTGCTGGGCCTCCTCTTCTTGTTTTATTAAAAATACATTTTTGTTTGTTTTATTTTTTTCATTTTTGTTTGTTTTAAATAATCGTGCCTAATGATTAAATGATTTCCTCATTCACTATAACCAAGTAAAAGGAGTGGTAGCAAACATAAGTCAAAAACATATTAGTTAAGTCATGTTGTTTATAAAGTAGCTTATATTTAATATAGTAATACAAAAATATTTATCCTTTATCTGTCTATTCTTTTTTTCATTTGCATTTTCAAATCCACAAGTGTTATTAACCTGAAGAAAAAAATATCTATTATTAGAACAATGATAAGTGTAATTGGAAAAGCGTGAAACAAGTGATTTGCCATATTAGAGAATATTGGATTAAACAATTGTAGTGTCAAGGAGAGAAGAAACCATAGAGATATATATGTGGAAGATTTGCCATAGGGATAACTCGCTGATTTTTAGCAGCTTTTTTCCACCTTTAATCTTACATGTTTTAAGCACAATAGAAAATTTATGGCTGGCTATGTCTACCATCTCAATAATGATTCTAAACACAGTTTATTTATTTTTTTTATTTTTTTTTTTAGTAAAAAAACCACTTTGGTTATACTATTGACCTCTGAATACCTTGGAAAGGCATATATATTAATAACAAACATACTCGTAGTATGTTGTTTCTATGTAATATTGCTTTGTGAATCTGAGACAAATCCCAAAATGGACAGCATTTGGCTATTAGTCTGCAGAAAGTGTCCAGAAGACTTGAAATAAATCTAAAAAACTAGAAGATACTTCTGAAGGAGAAGTCGAAAATGAGATCAATGCACAAAAATAGTGCTCAAGATGTGTGTAGCTGTTATTTTATTACCATTAATTAAGTGATACTTTCCAATGAGCAGAGTTGTTACAGAGGCTACTGTTTCTACTAGAGCCAAACTCACACTCTTGACTAAAGATAAAGTGTATAGAGAGCAAATTAAAGAAGTAGAGATTAAGACATGACATACATATTTATTTTATTGAATATCAACATTAATAATAGAAATTTCTAATATTAATAAAGAACTACTGTATGTCAGAAACTGTGCTAAAATTTATATGCATTATCTTAGCACATCCTCATAAATGAAAGAGTTGAGATTTGAATCCAGACAGCATCTGAGGCTACAGCCTGTGTTCTTATCACTATAGCAGATGCACTCCAGTAGACAGCATGAGGGAGATTCAGAGGAGTATGTATATTTTGGATGATTACTTTTAAGGCAGCTCTTTCAAATACTTGGGCTATAATCGCTCTTCACTAAAATTCTAAAAACGGATTCCAACATGTTACTTTTTCCATCTTCTGCCTTGCTTGCTCTTCCTTCTGTAAAGTGGTGTATTCTGCCTCTTTCTTGCCTCAAACCCTCCAGGGGGTTATCATGGCACAGGCAGTCATGTGCATTTCTTAGCAGGAGCACCTGAGCCCATTCAGGCTTGCAGCCGATTGCTCTTGCATGAGTCTCTAAGTCCTCAATGATAAGACAGTCTCTTCCTAGAACAAAACTTTCTCCTTTCCACTTTCCAGAATGATTTATTGCTCCTTACTCTGTTTCCTTAGCACTTTAGCTGTATAGGACTGTCATGATGCTTTTTATTATTTTTACATACTTGTCTCCCTCTGGAAACCATGAGGCCTAAGTGCCTGGATGCCCATAGCAGTTGTAGCTTGAGTCAGTGCATGAGGAGTGTCCTATAAATAGCAATAGCCAATAACCACATGTGTTCATAGATGTCCAGCTTATATTTGCAAAGTTGAATTGAGAATTCTATCTTTGAGAGTTTCAGTGCTTAGGTAATATAATTGAAGAGGCTAATTCAAGTTTTAAAAGAGTAAAGGAGTTAAGCTGCCAAGAAGACAGAGGATCTTAAATGTGGATGATTTTAAGATTTAATGGTAACATGCAACGTATGAGAAAGAAAAAAGACCAACAGTTTTCTGGCTGTTAATGACATTGACTATTTTGTTACAATTTTATATTATAAGGAAAGATAAGGCCCATTGAATAAACCATAAAACTGGAGGGGTTTCCAGAAATTCTGTAGTGTTTAGTTACAATTTTTGTACCAATGTTATCAATTCAGATAACTAACAGAGAAGTTGAAATATTTACAACATAAATAGAGGATTTGCTATTTTTTTTAATATAGAGGTTTGTCATTACACTTAATGTTAAAGTCCAAAATTCATGACCTGTCCAGTGACCCATTTTCTTTCCCAGTGTTGGCTCTCAACCTCTCTCTCCTCTGTTCTCTGGATTTCTAGAATGTACCTCATGCTTTTGCTTCAGGCCTCTACCAATACCAGCCTCGTTGTCCACAAAAGTTCTCTTCCTATGCATTCTACCTTCAATATTCCAATCAGCTTTCAGCCACTGTTTGAAATGTATATCCTAGGAGACATTTCCCTAACTCGCCAATACAATTTGATGTAAACTGCATTCTTACTCTCTATAATGGCACTTACACTGATCTGTCCGTATTTACTTGTGTACTATTTTATTTAATATCTCTTTGCCACTCCTCTAGACATTGTAAGCTCTAAATGATTAAAAAGTACTTTATAATTGCTTACTATTGGACTATATTTTTGAAGATAATATGTTTTCATTTTTTCCCTTAAGATAGTATAGGAAAATCATAAATACAAAGAGAATCTAGCTTCTTTTAAGGTTCTGAGTATCCCCTGGCAGCAGTTATCAGAGCTAAATTCTACAACCAGAACTATTGCCATGCTTTCCCTCTCCTCTGGTATTTTAAGCATCCAAATACCAAAAGAAAAGAAAGAAAATTGGATTTATTAATAGAATAGTTATTATTTTGAAAACACTTGCCAAAGTAGAGAATTCCTTCTAACATTTTAGGTGTTTAATGATGGTACTTTATGTAACTCTTATATAAGAAATGGTGAAAGACACCAATTACTATCCTTTGACCATATTCAGTACAATCCACATGTAATTCAAAGACAATATCTGACATTTTGCCTGGGATTACCCTATTTTGACAATTCTTAGCTGCATTTTCTTTTAACATCTCTGAAATTGAAACACACATAGATGTGTGAACACAGTTGAAAACTTCTAGTAACACCAAGAAATGGCCATGTGAAAGTCTTTTTGACTCAATAAAATACAGTCTCATAAGTAAGTTAAATATGTATCTTTTAAAAGCAATAAATGTTTTTTTAGATAACCTAGACTCATTTTTTCATTTCTCATGTAAATGAATATTGTCATGATGTTTTTAGGGCTTAAAGAAATCAACTCAATAGAAAATATCATGCTTATTAAACTTTTCAAAATTTGCAAACATATTAATAAATATTATTTAACTTGATCACCTTGACAGCTCTGTAAGGGAAAAGGGAGATTGTGTGTGCTATCCCCTCATACAATAAAAAGTGGATCTCATGTGTTAAATGCTTTGGTAGCTACATTGTTATTAAGCGTAGAAGCCAAAATCCTCACTTTTGTTTCATGAGCATGCTTCAGTGTTGATACAGAAAAGAAATGCATTAGTTATGGACTTGGAGATGTGGAATTTAGGCTGCTATGACTATTTTTAACGAAGACTTAGTGATATCATAAAGCATAATCTTTATGACTGTGGCATCTCCACCATGAATTTAGTCAACATTGATTCAAGGTATGGCCATGTTAGCAATATAGATTGATGTATGCCAGCCTGTGTAACTCCAGGTTTTCATCAGGACAGTGACCTGCTGGACCGGCGGAAACACTGCTTCACGGTGCAGTCTGAGTCTGGGGAGGATCTCTACTTCTCCGTGGAGTTAGAGTCTGACCTCGCCCAGTGGGAAAGAGCCTTCCAAACAGCAACCTTTCTGGAGGTGGAACGGATACAGGTGAGAGTTTGAAATTTTAGGATCTGTGACTCCTAAAAATGCATGACTCTTCCCTAGAATTTAAATCTCAAATAGAAAATGCTGTGATTTTAACTAATTTACAAAGCCATTTCCTGTTCTCCAATCGTGACTGCCTAACTTTTAGCGTGAATGGCTTCATTTTCTCACAGTGCTCTTTTTTTTAGAAATAATTCCTTTCAACTCTACCCTTCAAAACCATACAACCATAATTTGAGACTTTTTTCAGAGGTCATATCGTCATCAAGATTTTCCTGATTTCCTGTCTGTCCTACCCATTATTACCACTATTGCCACAACTATCCTGTTCAAACTCATCCCACTTGTGAGCACCAATATCACTTTTTTGTCTGTTTTCTTAGGTCTACTAACACTGTCTTGTATTGGAGTGATATGTGCTTGTTATTCCCAGCACTAAATTATAGTTTGCTTGGGATTGTTTTATTCATTTACCAGCTGAAGTACAGTGCATTTTGTACTGCATATTTATTAAGCTTTATTTCTTAAGTGTGAAGTTATATGTAAGTCAAACTTCACAGAACCTTCAGTCTCTTCATGGGACCATGGAATAGATGAGGCTCCGAAACGTTGGTTTTATGGCTGATGTCTGACAGAGACTGATGGCAAAATTGAACAGTTGTGATGCACTTTTCACATGTAAATGGATTCGTAGAGCCAGGACTTAAATAGACACATGAACACTTAATTTCAAAAACAAACATATGATAATGATAATATAGCACTGACTCTACTGGAATGCTTGGCTATAATAGGAGACTTGGATGTATATTTTTTCAATCTGTTGAACTGTTGTGTAACATATATTTATTTCCTTTATTTCTGACTATAACCTTCTATATTGAACATATCAGTTTGCACCAGTATGACATTTAAATCAGGGGAAAAAGACAGGGCGAAGACTCAAATTTCACTTGTTTCATTGCTCAACTGACACTTCATAATAGCTCTGCTGATCTTCATATATCTTAAAATGTTAATGTAACTGAGGAATATTGTTTCAATAACTTAGCTGTATAGAATGTCAATTCAATAAATAGTTTAATATCTAAAATGGGAAGATGAATGACATCTTCAATATAATTTTTTTCCAAATATCAACATCCAAGACCATTTTAAGCACTAAAATATGTTAGTTGAATAGGAGTTGACATTTTTGTTATTTATATTGCTATCTTTAAATTTTCCCAATTATAATTTCCTTAGAATATCACATTTCACTTGTAACCAACTACATAGAGATATCTATCTGTTGTTCTCAATTTAAGATTTCCTTTTAAGTCTCCTGATGTTTAGAAATGGGATAATATTATGTTGTTCTCATGTAATTTAAAACCTTTTTTTTTTGTTTTGTTTTGTTTTTTTGTGTCTGGGCTTCATATTCTCTAAGCTGATGTTCAGTGCATTTCTTTGGACTATCTCGTAATACTTAATACTTATTTAAGATGCATATAGCAAGTAAAAAGTAAAATATTTAATGTTTTGTTAGCTTTTGGTTGTTTTATACATCTTATAGTTTCCCTTTGCTTACTGCATCAGAAATAATCAATGACTGAACACTTTGGAGGTGTTATTTTCAAAATTCAAGGATGTGAATATATTTACATCCTTCTGTTTTTCTTTTTTCTTCTGTGTTCTCAATATTTCCACTAGCATTAAAGTTGATAAAGAAATACAATAAAGAAGGAACATATGTCCCTTTGTGAAATAGGCAGAAAGATAGAAAATTAATGAATTGACTAATACAAATTAATGAATTAAATAATTTTTTTAACTTTGAAATTGGTTTTCAGTCATGGGATTGCACCCTAACATTTTCTAGCTTCTAATCTACTTATCTACTTACATATTTTTGGATCTCTGATGTACTTAATATTGATATAAATATCTACATATTTAATTAAGAGGTTATCCATTAAGAGCAGGTATTTCTAAACATTCTACACTGTCATTTAAATTAACATCTTAAAATTTGGAAAATGTAGTGAATATTGAAACAGGAAGATGACAATTTATATGAGTAAAATCTTACAACATATCAGCATTCAAAGTAACTGTATTGGGCCTAATTCATTTATGGTACTTTTAGTATCTTTATTTGTCCTGTTTCTGAAAAATTTCCCAGAGTAAGTAAATAATACTGGTAAAGGGTAGACAATTTAATTTTTTTTACCTTACAATAATTCAATTTGAATAAATATAGCTCTTTTAAAATAGGACTTTTAATGAAAAAGCATATGATTTATAAAATTTATTTTCTTTCATTATTATTATTATTTGAAACTCATATGTGTTTAATTCAGCTACATTTAGTTATCATCCAAAAGGACATATTAAAAAGTATTTTATGTGTGATATATCTTCAAATGTTGTGTAATAACATATAATTGTGCAAAAATCTTTCAAAATGTTTCAAGTTGTCCCTAAAAAGTGTAATTTTTTGCTTTTTTCTAACTATAATTCAATTTTTATTATAAAATAAACAGAGAAATGAAACAAATCAACTGAGGGTTCTAGAGGGGAGGGGGTGGAAGGATGGGTTAGCGCAGTGATGGGTATTAAAGAGGGCATGTATTGAATGGAGCACTGGGTGTTATACACAAACAATGAATCATGGAATACTACATCAAAAACTAATGATGTAGTGTATGGTGATTAACATAATAAAATTAAAAAAAAACATAAAAGAAAAAAAAACACACGGAAAAATCACATAGGGTTTATTCTTATTACATTATTCCTTCTAAGAACGGCCAATAAAGTGCAGCCAAAAAAAAAAAATCAAATATAATATTAAAATATATATTAAGTATAGTCATCATGTTTATTAAAAGATTATAAATTATAGAATTAAACTTCAGTGAGTCTCTGTATCATATCTGTTTCAATTTAATGATTATTGATGAATTAGTTTCATTTGTAATTCTGAATTTAATGAGATAGATTTTAATGTTCTGTACTGAAGGTGTTTTCATCCAATGTATTCTTTTAAATAGTAATTGGGAATAACAAACAATTATGCCTAAATCAGAGGGAACGAGATAGCCTTGAACATTTAATATTGACAGTAGTTTTAATAAATTAATGATGGGTGGACACAAGCATGGAAGATGCCCATGCATTAAACAAATAAATTACACCCAAAACTGAACTTAATAGCCCATTAAGTTTGTTTTCTGAGCTGGTTTTTGAAAACTTGACTTCAAAGGAATAATTTGGCATGGCTATAACTTTCCTATGCAAATTGGGCTTAAAGCCATGAGTATAGCTTTTTGGTGAAGGCAACTTGATGCATTTAGACATCATTATAGTCAGAATGTGATTCACTTAATGTACTTTTATATACAGTATTATAAAACAAATATGATGTAATAATTAGTATTGAAAATTTGCTTAAGATCAGTTTATCTCTTTCTCTTCCTCCCTTTCTCCCTCCTTGTTTGTGATTTATGAGTATTTTTCTTCATTTGACTATTCCAGTAGAGTTTGCAATTAAATGAAAAAAAATGGCCTTGGACATAAATATGCATCATATGGCATATAAATCCTGAGTTTTTATTTCATATTTCTTATTGTTAAATTTTAGTATTTCTATTTTAGTAGTTTTTCAAAAATATTTATATAAGTAAAATATAATTTAATCTGATCTCAGTGTGAAAAGTCATTATTGATTTTTGAAGAATCAGTAGGTTTATACAAATAATAAGCAAGTGGTAAATGTCTTTGGGATATAACTTGTACCACATGGATGAACATTATATGACAGACTCTTAAGGTAAAGATGTTCTTATATTTTTTGCTTGGTTACTGAATCTGTGTTTGTGTGCCTGAGAGTTCTCTTTTAATAATATCCATAAAATTGATATGCCAAGAATTGAAGTAAAACTTAACCTTTAATAATTCACTTTTGTTTTAATGAAAATGTAATGATATTTAGCTATAGAATATAACAGTGTAACATAATTTTGCCTAAACTTAAACATTTTTATACCAGTTTTATTGCCAACATAGCAAAGAGTGTCAGTGCAGCACAAGGTAAAGCAAGTTCACATGGAGCAGGATTGGAAATGTCCTGCATACCCCTTGGCAGGTGAAAAAATATTTGGCTTGTTTTATTAACATTAAGATGTCAATAACACTATGTTTCTTATATAATTATTGCTGATATTAAGTTAGATCACTTATTATGGAGCTGTCACAACAGTCTTTGAAAAATGTTGGCTATTAATATCAATATTGGTTCAATCACATGAAAAGTAACAGTGTTTTCTGTTCTGTCTAGTGCAAGACATATGCATGTGTGCTAGAAAGTCATCTAATGGGACTCACGATTGACTTTAGCACAGGATTTATCTGCTTTGATGCTGCAACAAAGGTAATGTGTTCTGGTCAGCTCTGAGAAAAGTGCTGCAGACACTGTAATTTAAGAATGACTGAAACAACTTCTAACTCCTGTTAGTATTTTAATTGGTTATCATGTATCAAATTTAAGATCTTCATTTTTGTTAATAGAAGATAAATCATGCTTTATTCTGTTTATAGAAAAACAAAGTTTAAATTTTTAATAAAACAAACGTTTCCACAAAACATTATAACTGTATAAAGTGAATATGTATGTGTAATATATATACATTATACTTTATAATATATTATAATATGTGCATAATATATTTTATATATATATTCTTTTACTAAAGGTTTAGCCTCTTAAGGGAAAATTTTTTTTCTACAAACACAAGTTTTTTAAACAAAATTTTTTTTATTATTTTTCTGCATCAGTAACTCCAATATCCAAATAAGGAAAACATTTTTTAGAGTTTAGTTTTATAGGTAATATGTTAGAGTCATAGTATGGAAGAATTTGGGGTTTAGAATTTCTATCCAGGGACTATAACCCTTGTTAGCCCTTACTTGACCTGGTAAGGTCTTGTACTATCTGATTGGGTGCCTTTTCCACAAAGTATCTTTCTCTGAGAGTGATGTATATTGAATGATGAAAGGAATCTTCTCGGTTAGTAATATCTTAAAAATCCTTAAAACACAACTGACCCCGGGCACCTGGGTGGCTCAGTTGGTTGAGCGACTGCCTTCGGCTCGGGTCATGATCCTGGAGTGCCGGGATCGAGTCCTGCATCGGACTCCCTGCTCGGCGGGGAGTCTGCTTCTCCCTCTGACCCTCCCCCCTCCCATGCTCTTTCTCTCTCTCTCTTATTCTCTCTCTCAAATAAATAAATAAAATCTTAAAAAAAAAAAAACACACAATTGACCCCTCACCCACCAATAATCTCCCAGTACTGGAGTCACTGCTGCATTTTCTGACTTGGGGCTCTGGTCCCCACGGAGGACATTCTTTTCCTTCCCATGACACAATCTATTCCTCAGATCCACTCCACTTTTTCCTTTATCGAAGTATGGCCTAAGAAATAAACCCATTTATTCATTCCCACTAATTTTAAAGATCAATGAGTAATCCTTTACTGGGAAACTTATATCTTACCTAAAAATTAAGCATTGTACAGAATTTTCAAAAACAAATACAGATAAAACAAGATAGTGATATAAATGTGTAAGAAAGGCAGTGTGCAGGAAATGAGAGGTTTTGGATCATGGAAAAGATGGGAGTCCATGGTACAGTCCTGCAGCTCCCAGCCAAGTACGACGTGGATTGGTGTCTGAGATCTTACGATTTTTCATGACCCAGTAATCGAGATTGTCACACAAAAGCTCACATTATTTAAGGATGGCCAATTTTTTTTTGACACAGTGAAATTAAATAGCACACATGCTGGTCAGATTGATTTGACTGTCCAGCGCATTGCCTTTGCATAATGCCAAAAGAATATTTACCTAAATATGGAATTTCCAGTGCTGTGGCTCTTTTGCTGACTCTCCAATGAGACTGCCATAGCTTTTCCTACGACCAAAGACTTTCTTTTGAATAAAATATCCATTCAACTCGGGATAGGCTCCTGAGTATTAAATTAACACATTTACCAATTTAATTGTTATTCAATTTCATAATTATTAAATTAATGTAATAAATAACTTTAAAAATAAAGTGGTTAGAAAAAAAGTTAAAGTGTGATTTTATAAAGAAAGTGTTATAGCTATGATTGTCACCAAACTATCACATGAAGAGGTAAGAATCATACCTCGTAAATGAGAAGAAAGAAATAAAATTCATCTGAACACATTTCTGAATGCCTCAATTTAAGATTTCTTTTAAGGATAGTATAATCTAAATCAATGTCAGTATCCTGTTTCATCTTTTTGTGTGGTAAAGGAGAAAATCCAGATGTGGACATTCTGTATGACATGTTGAGGTATTCTTGCCTGAGTGTGCTAGGAAGTAATGAGTACTCGGGAGACCCTAAGCAAATGCTTATGATGCCATCTAGGGCATGTCATTTAGCAAGAATGAGATTTTAGTCAGTACAAGCTTGACGCAGAAAGAGCCAATGGCCATGGGGAGTGGTAATCACCAACTTCCCATTTTCTGTTACTGGAAGTTTTTTTTTTTCTTTAAATTTTTTTTATTGCTATTTAATCACCATACATTACATCATTAGTTTTTGATGTAGTGTTCCATGATTCATTGTTTGTACATAACACCCAGTGCTCCATGCAGAACGTGCCCTGTTTAATACCTACCACCAGGCTAACCCATCCCCCCAACCCCCTCCTCTCTAGAACCCTCAGTTTGTTTTTCAGAGTCCATCATCTCTCATGGTTCATCTCCCCTTCCGATTTACTCCCCTTCATTCTTCCCCTCCTGTTATCTTCTTCTCTTTTTTTTTTTCTTACATTATATTGCATTATTTGTTTCAGAGGTACAGATCTGTGATTCAACAGTCTTGCACAATTCACAGCACTCACCATAGCACATACCCTCCCCAATGTC